CTACTAAAACTAACTTACGTTACCTACCTACTTTACTTTTACTTTACCTTACCCTTACCTTACCCTACTACGTCGTCGTCTACACTAGTCTCTACTACCTCTCTCTCTACCACTCTCTCTCTCTCTCTCTCTCTCTCTCTCTCTCTCTCTCTCTCACACCTCATCTTCTCCCATCCTCTCTAGCTCTCTCTCACCTATTCATCACCATTCTCCTTTTTTGGGGGGGGAGCATATGTTTTTTGCTTTCATTTTACTGCAAATTGGGAAGACTTGTGCCAATTTGGGGGAGGATGAGGCGAAAGAGAGAGGGGGGCTGCTCAGCGAAGATGGGGCATAAGAAAGAGAGAGAGTAAGAGCTATTGTGACAAACAATTGGGAAGTTAAGAGGTAGGAATAAAAAGGAAAACAATGGGATTAGGATCTTTGTTGAAGGGACCAAAGCGAAGCGAAATCTGATACTACAGTTTCGGTCAATTTCAGCGTACTTTGGGCCGCTTCAGTCTTATTTGGCCGCTTCGGCCGAAGCTTCGGCCTCTTCGACAAAGCAAAAGGTCTTGATGGCATGCAACCTCATGTATACCTTATTTGCTTCGGTCTTATTGAGCCGCTTCGGCCTCTTCGGTGAAGCAAAACGACTTGATGACATGCAACCTCATGTATACCTTATTGGATTGTTGAGATTCACTGTACTATGAGGGACATAATCATCATATCTACCAAAGATGAGTTTCTTTTCAGGATTTTGAAAAAGTTTAAGACATCCAATCATCTTTAACAGCCTACAAGAGGACTTCGGCCCTTGAGCAAGGATGGGTCTTTACTGTTTTACAAAACGGAGGATGTCCCTACAGCGGAGGACGTCCCTACCCTTTGTGAGAAAAAACCGTACTCCGCACAAGTAAAATTACATTATTAACCTTGGTTAAAACATATAAATGGAAAAATACTATAAGTTACATTTTAGGCTTCCATTTCATCATCATTTTAGCCTTTTCAGTTTTCCCAATTAATTGGGGACATTTTAGGCTTCCATGTAATATAAAAAATTCAACCACATCTACCTTCATTAATAACAACAAATTGAACTATAGAATATCAAAGAAATGTATTTTTTTCCTTTTTTCTCCTTTTGAAATTTTTAATTTAATATATTTTTATTTTAATATATTTTTATTATAAATATACATTATATTTATATTAATTTTTTAAGAAAAGTCCGAAGTCTTTCCCCAAATCGACGAAAGCACCGAATTGCTTCATTTTTCTGACCAAACCAAAGAAGACTCCGAAGTGAATTTGACAACATTGGGTCAAAGTTAAAAAGCTTGGGGAGTAAGGGGTTAGGGGATGTGAAGAAATATTTTTTGAAGAATCTTATGCCACAAGTAATTTTGTTAGTTCGGAGGGGATACTAAGATAGTGATTCTAGTTTTGGGGGGTTACGGAGATATTTTCCCTATTTTCTTTGTCATCATGCTATTGATGGCCTCCTAAATCCAGGAGTTGATCATGTTCTCCAGAACATGAAGTTCCTTCAAAAAGAAAAAAAAATTCCTTCTTAATTTTTTATAACAGTTGGCCTCATCAGTGTTCCATTTGATTCTCGAACCTCATAAGTTCAAAGTTGAAAATACATGAACACACCCCCCCCCCCTTGCATGGCGCTGCATATGGCAAGTTCAGTGTCATTTAATATGGGCTTTGGAATGATTCTTGGTCAAAGGTGATCTGTACAAGACTATAGACACTGTAATTTCTTGTCACGTGATAATTACCCACAATCACATTTTGATCCTTATGCTTTTCTTCTGTCTACATGCCTCAATGATCATTATCAGACCTCCTCATTTAACAGACCATTCAAAGCTGGACTTTATTGGCTTCTCTTGCTTTCTGATTTCATTTGTCTCCTTTCTAAACTCATCCTTTTCCATTCCTTTTTACTAAGAACTTCATTGGCTACCCTAACCATGGAGTCCAAAGATATCCCTACTTCATTGATCATGCAACCAATGAATTATAAGACTATTTGCCAATGATAGGCTAAGCAAATTGCTATCTTTATCTGTTAACCCTCTATCAAGAAATTTTTTACTGGGTGGAACTTTGTCAACATTAATCATCAAAATTCTCTCAGTAAGAAAGGGGATAGGGTGATCTCCATTTTGTTCCCAAAAAAGTCAACAAAGGTTCTCACTGAGCAATTTGATGCATAACTCCTGATTCTGCCATAAGTCAAGACCCAAAACAGATATCTATCACTTCTAAAAGTGTTTTCATACTCAGAATATAGATTTCTTCGTTAGGAAATAGCAGCAAACTTATTTAAGTCACAGAGGATTGTAGCTCTATCTTACATCTTAATACTATGCTCCTATTAATCAAAATCGCCCCTGTAACTACTCAGGACCTCAATCTGCTTAACTTTCTATCGTGTTTGCAGTGGATTTCTCTTGGCCTCCCCTCAACACTTACTGCCATCACTTTTTCTCCATTAACTGTTTGTTCCAACAAGCCCTGTTTCCTCACTGTTTCAGTTCCATGTGCGTTCAGTCTTCATCGATCACCAATTTGTCCATTCTTCTTACTTCTGTTCTTGCTCACCTACCACACTTCTCTAGAATAGCACCAATAGAGCCTAACATGGTCATGTAACTGGTGTAGAGTTTCACATCTCATAGTCATGAATTTTCTCTTTAGATGTGCCAAAATAATGAACTTCTACTCTCTCCAAGCATGCAGGTCCAATGAGTTGAACATAGGTCCTCAAAATCTCGAAAGCTATCTTGGAACGTATCAGTAGGCCATCCACAAAGTAGTATATCAAACCTGAAACATTAAGAAAAATACTCTACAATCGCAAAATAGCATCACTGTTGATACTTTGCTCCACTTATTGTATGTGTGTGCGTATGTACATGTGTGTGTATACAATATGTATTTATGTATGTATGTATGTATATATCACCTACTCTGGTTGCAAGGAGATATCAGGAGTAAGGAATTTGAAGACAACCCAAATCTTGGTTTTGATTATTCATTCCATCCAAGATTAAACTTACAAATGCCTCTCAGTATTTAAGAAAATTCTTTATTTTTACTATTAATGTTTATTTGGTGTGGTTTTGAAGAACTTAGCTCTCCAATATTAATTTCTAAGTCCACAACCGTATCTAAAGAACATGCCTTTTTCATTTGTATATATAACTAATGCTACTATTCTCGTACTTACAATTTATAAGTAAGTTTGTGAGAAGCTGCAGCTGCTGCACCTCATCCTGGATGGGTTTTGTAGTCATAGAGGTATGTGCCTCACCTTGAGGCATAGCCCACTTGAAAGAATGCTGCTTACACCATCTGAAACTTGCCAAACACTCATTGGCCAACGCATTTATTGCCAATGAACATGTTCTAGTATATATGATACACTATAACTTCATATTCCAAGGACCCAAGGAGTATGAAAGAGTGTGCATAAAACTGCCCACTAGCCTTGACTGACTCATTCATCCATCTTTGCAACATTTTCTTAACAAAAGAACAAGAGAAATTACGATGAGATATTAGTGTTGGAATTATTAGGAAGGTAGCAGATGCCCAAAAAATTCGTGCGTAAGGTGTTGTTATTTTATTTGTAATAATCAAGCAAGGACAGAAATAAATCCATGGTAGCATTTATAGCCCTTAAGTAAATTCTCAAGAACGTTGCTTTCATTAATTATATGACTTGCATCAGCCCCAAAAAAAGGCGTCATAAATCTCTTGTTACATCTACAGGTGAGCATCACTGAAAACTTGTTTCCCCGTGGAAGAATAAATCAAACATCCATGAAAAGGTTTGCTTCCAAAGAACATGTAGGGATAAATGATATGAACTCCACAGATTCATGAAACATAGTAGTGATCACACTGTCCAAGCTCTTCTCTGGGCACCCTTCTTCTGGACTTCTATTAGATGTTCAAAATTCAATTCTCTAGTATCAACAATGCAAAAGTTTTGGGACTGAACAGGTTAAGAAATCCAAATTTACGCACAAAGGGCAAACCATTGCACCAAGCAATTGAAACCACAGAAATAATATGGTTTCAGTGTCAATTAATAGTACATGCCAGATGAAACAAGGTGTCAAAATGACATGTAACTAGTCATATAGTTCTGTTTATAATTTCTTTCTTTCTTTTAAGCGTATTTGATTTCTTATCTCTAGTACATGCCAATAAAAATTCATCACCCTCCTGAACCCCCTCTTTCAGCCCCAAGGACCTTGTAATAATAGAATGAGCATAGTCAACTACAACACTGAGAAACACTAAGGCATAAATCTTACAATTACATACTCCTAAATTGATAGGAACACAATCCAAACCATCAATCTAACAAGATTATATCTAGTATTTATTTTACCTGCAAGTATGTTATCGCTCGACGAAGATCCCCATCAGAGATAGAGCTTAAAGTTGCAAGAGCCTACATGGATAAACATTTAAAGATGGATGCAGTTAAAGAAGGAAATACATGCTAAAGTAGATAAAATAAGAAACAATTTTTTTACCGAACTAAAAACTCCACAGTTCAAAAAAAAACAGATGTTAAACAGTTAAAATATTTCCAAACGAATTCCTAAAGAAGATTGAGTTGAAATCCATAACAAACTAGAAACATCGCAAATTATAAAAAACATTGTGTATATCAATACCTCTGAATCCAGATTAAGACTCTCCTGGCGGCAAATGTGAGATATCCTACTGCTCATGATTTCTTCAGAAAGTGGCTTAAACCTAAACTTTGCACATCTTGAGGCAAGTGGTTCTATGATCCTTCACGGCACACAATCTTGTAAATAAAACGCGTAAATCTTTTTCTCTATGGCAGGTCATTTAAAATCTTTAGCTCTTCATATATGACTTAAAGCTTTTATGCGAAAAAATGAAGTCCCCTAAGAAGGTGAAGGAAAAATACCTGCTAACATAGTTGCAAATGAAACAAAACCTTGTAACTTTGGAGTAAGTTTCCAATGTTCGCCTCAGCGCATTCTAGCAGGTTGTATTTTTATCAAGTTCAATTCTAGTTGGCAATTAAAGCAGCTAAAATCAAAACAATAGCGTGAATAATGTGAAATACCTGTGCATCTTCAGTCATTGAATCAGCCTCATCCAAGATAATAATCTTGTACGGTGGACATGGGTATCCACTAAAAAAATTTCAATCAAAAAAAAGAATCATAAGATAAGAAGTTATAATATGGAGGTTTAAGACACTTAGTCATGGCAAAATAACAGGGAACTTCCAAACCTATTAGGGTTTCCTGATCCAACAGCAACTGCTGCAAAACCTTTGATCTTTGTGCGCACCACATTGATCCCACGGTCATCACTTGCATTGAGCTCTAAAACCCTGGACTTGTACAATTCAGGCCTGAACATCACCAAAGTGGAGATTAAAGCCTTTGCTTCAATATACGACGTACTTAACTAAAAAACTTGAGAAATTATGCTAAGAAGTTACAAGATTGTTGTGTTTTCTGACCAATGCATGTTTTCCAATAAAATATATCCCATAAAAATTCCAACTCATGGACAGCTATAACTAGGAAACTCAAAATACTATAAAAAAGTTCAAACAAAAAAACAAAATAGAAATTTACAAATATAAATCTCTTACTAAAGAAGAGTACTACAAAATCCACTAACATGGATATGGCCATACAAGGGCAGAAATGAGTCATCTGATCCATACAAGGGCAGAAACCAATTCAAGACTTTGTGAAGTATCAGGGCATCGCAAACTACGAATTTAAGAAGCAAACAATCCATAAACACCTAATGCATAAATGAATGAAAGGATGTCGCATTTCAAATCAGCCAAAACAACATGAATAGGGCACAAATAAACAAAATCATACAGAGATTAATATAGCTTAGATGGATTTTTTTTTTTTTATAATGTTAACCTGTATAGAGCTTCGATGGATTGATTTGGCTAATTTAGCAAATTCAGGCCAACACATATCACCAGTTACATAAAAACACAGGGATTGCATATCTCAGATCTTTTACACAACTCATTTCAGGCGATATGTGGAACAATGATTACTATAAATAGGAGAAACAGTTAAACAAACAAAAACTCCAGCTAAAAAAACAAATCCGAGAAACTAAAAAAGCATTGACTTCACTGATTTACCCAAAAAAAAAACAAAAAGCATTGACAGCTTTGAGAGAGTGCGGGGGGCAATTTACGAAACATCAAAATCAACATAAGTTTATAAACTAGTTTATAACCATTTAAAGAAATTTCATAAAACTAGAAATGAACAGTAAGAAATTAAGAATTATTTATCCAGTTTGAATGTCTCTTGCACTGAAATGGTCATATTCAGTAAATCATAACTTTCCTCTACATGAGATCAAAATGATTCAAGGATATTTCCTTCAACAATTAAACAACTGACAACCTCATCACAGGATGTAAAACCGTCCAAGGATCAATTCTTTCAAGCATACAAAATAAAATGTAAACAAATATTAGAAAGAGAAAGAAGAGAAACACGAACCCGAAAAGCTGGTGAGCAATGGCAAGGGCCGTGGTGGTCTTCCCTGTTCCAGGGGGACCATAAAAGAGCATGTGAGGGAGCTGTCAAATATCCAAAATAAAAATAAAAATCAGTAGAATCAAAATGCAGATGAAGAGAGAAAAATTAGGGAGATTGACAAAGATGCTAAAATCCCTAATACGCATACACCTAAAAGAGAGGGGAAATTTAGAGAAAGAAAATAGGACAAAAGGGTTACGAATATAGATATGTATACCATATTAACAGAGAGAGATAAAGGTTACTGCTGTAAAATTCTAGAGAGAGAGAGAGAATACGTTAGCGGTTTGGAGGGTGTTGGAGAGGACACGGACGACTTCATCCTGGTGAGCCACATCCTTCACCTGCTTCGGCCTGCTGCAAAAAATTACACCTTTCATCTCTCCATCGTCCACCAACAACATTACTATATTAGCAGAACAGGAGAGAGAGAGAGAGAGAGAGAGAGAGAGAGAGTTGGGGAGGTAACGGGAAGAGGAACTCACTATTTCTCCACCCATGGGTGGGAGCTTTGCATAACAGGAGCCATTTTCCTCTCTCTATCGCTCTCTAAGAGAGACCCTCTCTCTCTTCTCTCTTTCTCCCTCTCTGCCCTGGTTCTTTATTTCCTTTCCCGCTTCTTCCAGGAGGCCCGTTCTTTCGTTTCGCTTTTTTTCCCGCTCCGCATCTCTCTGGACTCAATTTCAATGATTCTGGAACCCGAGGGAGCAAATTTTTTACACCCTCCCGCGAGAGCACATGATCCTTTAGCCTCTCGATTATGCCCTCCTTGCTTTGCTTTTCTTTTCTTTTTTTTTCCTTTTTTTTTTTTTTGAAAAAATTTAGTGGGGATGAACAGTAGTTTGACGGGTAATTTAGTAGCTATCATTTAATTTATTTTTTAAAATTATAAGTTATTTTTTAATGTTTTTCAATATTTTGAATGAAAATGAAAAGACCTTAGTTAGGGCACTAGAGGTGCTACCACCCCCACCACGCCAACCCATTCTCAAAGCCCTCCTAGCTTGATTCTTCAGTGCTCGACAATGGCTATTTTGCTAAGAAAATTAAGGGAAAGCTCACATATATGTATAGTATGCATGACCCGTATCTCGATCATCGCATCTGAATAGATGGCTGAGATAACTTGAGTTGTAATGTCAGAAGTTAATTCTCAAGCATATGATCTTGATGTTGACAGTTTAGAACGCTTTACTTTCATCTTTATTTTATAAATCATTCTTCAGTAAATTCAGGTCATGCGTACAGTTGAAGGAGTCGCACATGATAAAAATAAAAAAAAATATTTATAATGAAAAAAACTACCAAAAAACCCCTAAAACTTTTAGAAGCATTGCGGTCATTTATTTTAAGCCAAAAACATATTGTAAAAAAAATCATACATTGTTTTCACATGATATTATAACAAAACCAATCCTAACCGTCGATTCAAGTCAATTTTTTACTAAGTGTGATTGCATATAATTTATATGCGGCTGGGATCAAACAAAAAGCTTTCTCAAATATAGAGTCAAAAGATACCAATAACACAACGATTGTTTTTGGATAAATTATGAATACCACCTAATTTATACTTTCTAAGCATGCTGTCTTAATACTTTTTAAATCACACCTTAGACACCAAAACCATTTCTTCATACATTCAACCCCCAAGTAAAAAATTAATGGAAAATATCACTAAAGGATATAAAACCCCTGACAATATCATTAAAGGGGTCAAATTTTATCTGGCAACTTTTTTATTATGTAGTCTCTCTTTTTTTAATTTCAATTAGATACCTCTTCAATAAAAAAGATTTACAATATCTAAATTGTCCTTTTTTGTATTTAGACACGGAATATGTAATTTGACATTAGAAGCCTCAACCGAATGAAAAAAATATCACTACCTAGTATGCATTATAAATAAAAAACTCATTGTTAAATAATAAACGACTAAGGGTATTTTTACACTCAAATACTTTGCATGTATCAAATTACAAAAACATCCCTAATTGTTCCGTAATATTGATACAAAATAGTGTGATCCTCATTTGAAATGCGGAACAATTTATGGGTATTTTTCCCTTACATTGAAGAATAGCCCTATGCATTACTAATATTGCACAATGTGTTCCTATGAAGGTCAAGCATGTGAAATCAAGGAGCACACGTAGTACAGAACTCCGCCCACCATTTTACAAGCATGAAATTCCAAAAAAAAAATTGATCAAATTACAATCCTTTCGAATTTGAAATTTTTTGGGTATGTTTGATGGCGTGTGATATCTTGATACTACCAAATAATATAGATTAAATAAATCTTGCTATCTGATAAGCCAAATAACGTGTTTAATGGCACTAAATTACATTAAGTAAAATCCAAGAGGCACAATACATGTTAATAAAGTTACTTGAGAAGGACTACCAAGTTGAGACCAAGAAATCAGTTCATGGTCTCGTTTGTGGATCGAGTCTTAACCCACGTCAAAAATAAAGTTTGTCTAAATACTTTAGCCAAAGAGTCACCAAAAAAGTAAGTGGAAAACCCTCAAAGGTAGGGCTGGCAACGGGTCTGATCCGACCGGACCTGTTTTGGGACCCGACCAAAAATAAAATATATATATGTTATATGGTTTTATTAAGCTACATTATTTGGTGTTGTGTACTCTTAAAGTCTTCAATATTTTTTAACACTTAAATACTGATGAATTATAATACAAAAATTTTCAAGTAAAGGTATATTTTGTCATTTAAAAGGGTATAATAGATATTTTTATAAAAAAATAGTAGCATTTTATTAATAGTCAAAAAACAATTAATGCATATTGAGGGTGATGTCACATACCATGTTCGTGATGGGATTGTCCACTATTGTTAATAAATGCATTTGTTTCTATTATTAATTTCTACTTTACTTTTGATTAATTACTTAAAATACATGTAGACAAAAAGTTACTACACCATAGGATAAATGTATCTAAGTGTCCAAAAATATTGAGGACTTGTACACCACAAAGTGGTGTAGCCCAATAAAACCCTATATTATTATAATTAAAAATATATAGTTATATCTATTTAACTAGTATTAAATAATTATATATTAAATATTATTTACATATTAAAACTATTCGGATTGGGTCTACCCTGACCCAAATAGTGTCTGGGTCCAAGTTTTAAACCTGGACCCACCGGGATTTGGGTCCATTGCCAAAAGAGTCGAGATAGTGTTTTGCTTTGCAAAACATGACTCAAAACAGAGATAACTCAGTTTCAAAATCATTTTTGTTTGTGCAATTGCTTAGAGTCATGGACTGGTCCCATTGTCTTTAAAGTAGTATACACCCTCAACATGTATTCTGTTTTGATGATGCAATAGTTTGGGAAGAATGTTACTCTCAGGATAAAATTAGGCTGAGGGAAACAGCCGTTAAAGAATTCTTAGAATTTCTCGATTCTTTTAAGCAATTTAGAGCCCTAGACTGATCTTCCTTTTTCGCAAAATTGATAGGTGGTTCACTAATGAATACCGAGAAACAAATCAAATTGAAGTTGGTTGAGATATCATTGAGAAAAGTTAACCATGGCGATGCTCCTGGAAGCAGGGTTTTGCCTCTTTTAACATAAATTTCATCATGTTTTCAATCTTAATCGGGTTTATATGATCTTGGAATTCACTATTTATCTACTGCAATGGAGCAGATGAACATGGTTGGAAAGGATGACATGTATCACATTCTCAGAAAACCTTAGCTATAGAGTAGGTGAAGTTAGGAGGCCATAACTGTAGGGTGTTGGGTTTGGTGATATTTTTTATAAGCTATAAAGAGCTGTCTTTATAAGAGAGTAAAAGTCGACATAATACTCATCATTTGAGGGTCACCCTTTTGGGGGTTATAAAAATAGATCTCCAATATAGAGGTCTTTAAGAGAGAGACATGGTCTCTGAGAGAGGGGCAGTATTCGCATGAGTTTTGGATTGGTTAACTTCCACTTCTAAAGAGAGAAAATATCTACATTGCTCTAGATGTTATCTTTTCATTAGCGTTATTGTGATGGGAAAGAGGATGTTGACTAACAGTGTTGATCGATCGGAAGAGCGGATTTAGAAGGGAAGACCGATGATGGTATTTTACAGACGTTTAGAGATAAGTATTATCTTGTAATAAAAAACTGTAATCTTCATTGTGATAGTGGATTTCTACTTGTCGAGGCCGTGGATGTAGCCCTATAGGGTGAACCACATAAATCTTTTGTTGTTGTGGTATGTCTTTTTTGTGTTTGTTTTATTTATTGCACTCGATTTATAGTGTATTCATCTACTTTACATTTAGCTAATCATGTACACGATCTTAGGTGCGATCTCGATGTTTGGGATTCCCAGTTCTGCAAGCTAGGGGTTCCCGATAACCCTACATAAGGAATGGCGGTTTTCTTTTTTTAGCGTTAAATGGTTAGTAGTGGGACCGTTGGTAGTTTTCGAAAGGGGTTAGCACAAGTAGGAATCGAAATCCAGACTAGTAGTTGAGTCACAAGTATCGAAAGGGGTTAGCACAAGTAGGAATCGAAATCCAGACTAGTAGTTGAGTCACAAGTATTGCTACCACCTTGACCTCAACCTCATTCCTAGCAGTAGGGAATGGTTATCGCGGGGGATAACTTCTTGGGGCATTTGGGCCTTTCTAACATTTTTTTTTGTAGCAACAAAATTTGAGTTTTAAACAATATTCACGAAAAATATGTATATATTAAAAAAAAAACAGATCTAAACACTGCTTTGTGTTGATTAGACACATGATAAACTAAGATCTTTGTGGTCTTATCATAAACATTCAAAACCATGTAGGGCCGTGTGCTGTATCAGCAAAAAAAAGTCAAAAAATTGAAAATAAAAATATAAAAAATACAATATATATATATAGTGAAATTAAACAAAACAAATCCAAACATGGTTAAAAAAACTCTTTGTGGTCTCAGCAAAAAAATTCAAAACATGTTTTAAGTTGGTTTGAAACACCATTTAACCAAGTTTTAAAACTCTTTAAAACTAAACAGTGGTACACGATGAAAGAAACTCGATGCCTAAAAGAAAGGAATGCTTTTGGCATGAATGCACATAAAAAGAATGGCAGGAAAAAATTGAATGTAGGAGATTTTGTGACATCACTAAGGGCACGCAAGTTTAATGACAATTATCACTGAAGGGGACATAGCGGAAATGAAAGTCAAAATGTAACAATTAGAGTAGGCGTCAGGTGAGATTGCAATCCTAAAAGTGAATTCTACTAAATTTTAAAAGAGAGAGAGAAACTTGAGCATTGAACTTCTAACTCTAATGCTGGATTAAACCCTGTAGGAGTGGTAATTGGGACCCGTGGATCCGAGACCCGACAAGTAGACCCTACCCCGAGTTAAAGTATGGATCCAGGGGTTGGCCCCGATGGGTCGGGTTTGTATCCAATAGCCTTGGACTTGATTCAAGTCCAGCTCTAGCTCTAAGAAATCCCTCTGGGTCTGGGTCCAAGTAGTCCCTCTCTATGTTGTTTGAGTTAAATATATATTTTTTAATGTAAAAATCAATTTTCAGGTCGAGTATGGATCCCCCATAATCAATTTTGGTCTACGTCTGGGTATGGGACTCCAGACGCAGTCCCTTGCCAGCCCTAAACCCTTGTTTCAAGAAAGTTTAAACATTTATTAAAAAGTGTCAGGGTTAACTCTTCTCAATTT